GGAGGAGGGAAGAGGGCGATGAGCAGGGAGGCCTGCCCTGCCTGCAACCTGTACCCATCTCCCTAGGATTGGTTTAAAGAGGGAAAGGGGGTAGGTTTCCCCCAGATGGTCAATGTTCTCTATTTTTATAGCTTGTTGGAGTCTCTCTGGAAATTGCTCCCAAATGTGAGCTCACCTGTCTAGAAAGTGACCAAATAGGATGCAGGGGAAGAACCTAAGTCTTCTCATGCTTTTAGGAGGCAGAAGAGAATTTAAGTTCTGGGCTCAAGTGGGGTTGTGGTAGGCTGAGGCTATGTTGACTAGTTCTCAAATCAGACATCGCTTTGGATTCAATTTAGTTCCACATGGAAAATTAACTGTATGCCAGGGGCTCCATATGTATTCACATCATTTGGCCCTGACTTCTCACAATGTTTTCTCATATCAGGTTATCTTAAAAGGTATCTGTGCACTCAATTTGTATACCAAAAAACTCACTGTCCTTTTGATGTTGGGGCAAAGAGACAAGACACTTAGAAAATTCACTTTAATCTTATATTTGTAATTTAAGTTACTTTTTTCTGAACAGTTAAAAAAAACCAGAACACACTATATTACCATGATCCTAGGTTGTGAACATATTGGTACATTGACTACACATCACCAAAACATAATCACAAAAGTCAAAGCAGTCAATACTGAAGTCTAGAGAACAAAGGGCTGAACCAACAGAAAGCTCTCAAGGCAGCTCACATTTGTTGCCAGGCCTGCCCGCTATTTGGAGTCCAGTGAATATCTCTCAGAGCAGCCTGGGTTGGGCTTAAGTGATAGCTAATTTGGGAAGGTCTACGTTTCCTTGGTACCCAGGGGTCTAATCCTCCTCATTGGTCTGTCCTTCTGTGTCCAGGAAGGGAAAGGAATAGAGGGGAGGTGACCCTTTGTAATGCTACTTACTACAGTCATCCTTCAACACATACACAGTCAATAAGCAGCTGAGAGAGCCAGGTGGGTGGACTGAAGAGCACATAGTTTAGATGTCATCTGCCTCTAGGAAATTTTCGATCATACTCAGCTTCCAACAGATGAGGTTTCAGAATGTCAATGCATTAAGTTCCACCTGAAATCGAGCAGCCATAATCATGCTCTTTTGGTTTCTCTCCTTAGTTCTAAGAATTATGAAGTCACAAATGAACTACAGGTGAAAATAACAAGAAGCAAAACTCAGCCTCATTCTCCTAAGAGATGGCTGTCTTTCCATAATTTCTGGCACTGATTATGGTCAGACTGAGGAGAACCTAAGGGGCTCTGGGATGGGTGGATAGAGCCCAGAAAGAGAAACTCAGCCTGCAGGCTGTGGGTGCCCATGTTAGAAGTGAGTTATTCTAGCATGAAAGAGAGGAAGGCAAGCAAAGAGAAGCGGGGCGTCTTTTCATGTTCTTTAGTTCTTGGAAAGTCTATTGAACTCATCTAAATGGGGAAGGAGATCAGAAATGTGGATTAAAGTCATATGGTAAACTTGATCACCAAAGAGCATGATGGTCACAGGTGGGGGTTACCTAAGCCTCCCTTTTCCCACTTGGAAGTAGGATTCGCCAAAATCAAGCCTGCAGCCTAGCCCCCAGGCGCGCACTATTCTGGGTTGGACAGTTCCCACTTCAGGCAGGAAGGTATTACCATCTAAGGTAAACGGAGGACACCACGGTCAACAATACCAAGGTATCTAGTCTAATTCTGTAAAGAAAAAAACTGCCCCACTTATTTCCAACATTCCGACTCCCTTCACCCCAAGCCCTTTATTTCCACACATAATCAAGTGCTAAGCAAGGAGACGAACTCCAGCTGTTTAGACCAGTGGGCACCAAGAAACGGCGAAGGAGAAGGGTGCCTATTTTTTTCCCTTCAGATTTTGATTTTACAAAAGAAAAATAAATAAAAAAGGATTTTTCTTACTCAAGCAGAAAACAGAATGATTTAGGGGTCTCAGGGTCTTTTCCAGTTCAGAAACAAGTTATGAGGGCCAGACTTTATTATTTGTCAGTAGAGTTCCAAACAGTCCCCATCTCCGAAGTTTCTGGTGAAGAGTCACCAGAAAGAATTTTGCCAAGGGACAAGTGTAAAAAGCCTGCCATTCACAATTCATGTCTACTATCAAGCTGCTCATGAGAAAGTAAAAGGATGTTCAGAGCAGTGGAAATACACACGTGCAGCAAGACATGCTGGTTTTGTCCCAGCAGCCCCAGTGTGAATGGAGAGGTGCAGTGCATGCACACGCTCCTCACCCACCTTTGAAGGGGCTGCCTCCCATCCTGAAGGAACATTTCTTTTAGGCCCACATCGGAATTTTAGTGAGAAGACACTAATTTACAATGGAGCCATTTCATTTCAGGGCCCAGAGACACCTTCAGCTCCTTTTCTACTATTCCTTTAAATGCGCTTTCTTTGTTTCTCTTTTTAAAAAGGTCAAACTTTACATTTATTCTAGCCCAGTTGGGGATTAGTGAAAATCAATTCCTACTGAAATCATGCAGAGATGGTAAGTGGGGTTTACCTTCTTTGGAAATGAACTTCTACTTACCTGATTATTTCTTCTACAATGAACTGGTAAATGACCCCCAGAGCTGAGAGATGTGACTGACTCAAGTTTTTCAGACCACTTAACTTCATTCTCATTTTCATCGGCAGCAGAGGACAACTTGGGGAATATCCTCGATGGAGCTAATGGCTCCAGACTGCACGGAGGGCCACCTCGATCTCATTTATGATGTATTGGAAAGGCTTCAGAACGGTCTATTTAGTATTTCTAAATAATCTGCTTTCAACTGAACCTAGATGGGAGAGCAAAACCCCGGGCACCGATGAATATTCAACCGCTCCCACTTTTGAACAGCAGCATATAACAGAAAGGCTGGTAAAGTTATGGCTATTGGGCAATATTTTAAAACAGCTTAAAATCCATGCCTCTTTAATGCCTGACCTGTGTGTTTTTCAGGGATGACAGCCCTCTGCCTCACCTGACAAAATCCTTAACCAATCAAAAAGCCATTAATAGTCAACACAATAGACAAGGAACCCTGATAGTGACTAGATAGAAAATATTTCTCTGTAGCATTTGGCTAGTTAGGAAGAGAATTATACTCAGAAAATACTTCCTAGGCAATGACATACCATTACACTGGAAATTATTTTCTGACTGTATCCTGGAACTAAAAGCTTAAAAGCACTCATAAAGCAGGAAAGGAAAAATGCATATGCATAAACTACCTCCTAATATGTAATAACAACATCCAGTCTGGGCACATTTTGGGAAGAGGAAACCTTATAAATCAGAGGGAAGCGTGAAGATGGCCTTCTCTCCCTCTCCTTGGCTGCTGAACTAAAGGTGGCCTGGCTTTGCGGTCACCTGCAACAGGCTCCCATTCTGATGTTTCTACAGCAGCTGGTTAAAAAGGGGCTTTCTTTTACTCAACTGCTTTGATTAGGAATGGAAACAATGGGCCTGACAGCTCTGCTTCCAAGGGAAACTTGAGACTGTACTGTGGCCTTGGGCCTTTAATGGGTGTGCCCATGACACCGGAAATGGATGGTGGAGGTCCACTCCCACCCTAGCAAACAAGTTGGGCTCAGGCTGATAGTATTCCCTATGCTCCCAGGTTGGGGAAGCACCTGTGCCCTATACTGAAAGCCCATACAGCTAGCTGCCTTTCAAGTGGCTGGGTCAGCCAGGCCCTTGCTGAGGTCCATTTGTTTATGTTGTTCACCAACTGCCAGAGAAATTTTATTGGTTGGGGAGAGTGGAGAGTAAAATAAGACCAGGAGGAGGGAGAATAGGAAAGAGAAGGCAGTTTCTGCCCCCGTAATAAACCCTGTGTGCCAAACTTCACCCTGATCTGCTCTCTCTGGCAGCTTTGCCCTTTGTAAATATCAACTTTGGAAAAAGCAGAAGGAAGGTTCTGCAGGTCAAGGTTGAGATGATTAGCTTGATTTTTGAAAAAATGTTATTTACTGGCCTAAATGAAAAATAAATCAACTCTCATTCATGACCACCTCTTAAGCTACTCTGATCGTGGTCTTGGCAAAGATACAGGTGCCTGGGTGCTCACAGGCCCTGATGAGGAAATCAGAGATGTGAACCATTGTGAAGAACGCATCGAGCGACTAGCTCTGGCCATTTCGAACCTTTCTGTAGGCTGAGCCTTACCAGTGATTTAAGATGAAGTACAATGCTTTTTATTACACATCTAATTGTTAATGAGAGGAAATGCAATCAGCAACTCCTTTCCACACTCTACATGGAATTGAGGAGACTGCTGAGTCCAGAAAAGATGTGGCCATTGATAGAGCCCGGGAAATTTCTGCTCTCTCCCGTTTTTTCTTTTTTTGGGGGGTGGGTGGGGGTGCAGAGGGTGCTGGAAAGACAAGAGAGAAGACTTTCAAATACAATGAGAGTCCCATGTCTGAGAACCCACTGCTGTCACGTAGGATCTCTTGCAGCAAAAGCCTGCATTTGAAATTTTGACTGAACAGCATTTAATTCTTCCAAGAGTTGCATTTTCTGGCTGATTTGCCTCATGCTAACCAAGGCCACTTTCTTCATACTCTTTCTCAGGTGGAGCACAGAAACAGGTTGAAGGGGAGTGAGGGGAGGGGGAAAGAGGGAGACACAGAGAAAGAGATGAAAGGAAAGAGGCCCAGATCTTCCAGTGTGCGCATTCTTACTGTCTCTCTTTCTTACCCCAAAGGCTACACAGACAGCTGTCTCCTCCTAAGCATAGTGGGGCTGCTTGATCT